ATTTTCTGTGTGCCACCTGAGAAATAGGTTCTGTCCAGGTGATGGAGAACATAGTGGTGAATGTCAGAAACAAGGGTCTGCAGGAGTCAGAGCAACTGCCAACATAAGACATCAAAGCAAGCAGAGCTCAGCTCTTCCCTAACCTTAGAGGGCCTGGTCTTGGGAATAAGAGAGGAAATCTTTTTTAAAGTCTAAGTTCAAAAAAATCTCAATGTATTTGCTGTGTTGCCATTTGGTTTCAGTGCTGATTCTAACACCTTTAACAATCTCAAGTATAAAACTGAGTGATTCTGACACTGAGTTAGATTAGATTCCTGAAGATAAGCCTATCACTGGGAGTTATTTCTCACCAAAATGTAAGAGTCTGTGTAACTATAAGCTGTGTGTGTGAATTCTGAGTGTTTAGCCGAATAGTATGAATCTGCTAAGTTAAGTCTTCTTCCCATCCAGAATATTCCAATAGCTTTTCATGATCCAGCTGAATGTGGATTTTTTTTTGTTGATGTTGGCCCACTTAGGTCCAAGTCTAGCAACTAAAAAGTGTTTGAGGAGAAGAACAGTCTGTTGGAAATATATTGAAACCAGCTTCATTTGATCAACTTAAAAATGAGTCACAGTCTTGGAAGATAGTCTTAGACCTCGACTGACCTGGGTCTGCTGTTCTAAAAATGAAAATCCAGTAAAAAGTACACTTGCGTAGTTTGGGCAGACCATAGGCTAGAGGCAAGGTTCCTGTCTTCCAGGAGTAGGCCACATTGCCTTCATTTTAAAGCATTTAAAACTTTGAGTTTTATGTAGAGTCCCATGCTCAAAAAGTCCACCTTTCCACTTGGCCAAATTGAGAAGAACCTAGACTCCATCTAGAAACCTTCCGAAAGAGAGAGTATAGATGCCTTTAGCAACCCATTCCAGGATTTCACAGCCTTCCTTAACTGGGGATTTTTATGTGCTATTTCCTTCCTCCGACCTCACACCCCAAAATGACATTACCTGGTACTTACTCTGTACAAGCAGGGATTTTAATCATCGTCTTTTTCCTTGATTTCAGTCCTCTGAAGACCTGCGTGCTCCATTTGCAACAGATAACGTGCAGAAACTTCACTTGCAATGAAAGTCATGCTGCTCTTGGTAACCTGGCATTTCAGCATTTAAAGACACTAAGTAGCTCCATCCTCAGTAAATTAGGCTCAAATTGGAGAAGAGAATTACATACTTAAAAACACAGAGGCAAAATGATGGATTAATGTTATACCTTAATATAACACATCATGACATGTAGTAGTAGTGTTAGACCAATTAGCAAGTGAGGCGTCTGCTCAGGTTCATCCTTTCTGCTGGGCATGTAGCAAAAGGATAGCAATTTGAAGGGTGGCATTTATCAAATCCCTGTGGAGGGAAAGTTGCCACTTTAGTGGTATGACCTGTATTCATTTAGCAAAGATGACACCCCATTGCATGAGAATACAACAAAGACCACAAATACTGTCCCAAAAGTTCTGCCTCCAAATTGGCGTTTATGCTTCTGATTTCCACAAATTATTGAAATTCATTGCATTTATGTCTGAGCTGGAGTTTTAATATGTTCAAAAAATATATTCTGCTCGTTTCTTGAGAGCTAGCAAATACTAGGTTTGGGGGCTTGGGCCCCTCCTTCCCTTTCTGATTCTGCTTCCCTATCAATCTGATTGGTAACAGCAAGGAGAGGAGAACAATAAATCTCCCAGTTCCTCCTGGTGTGAATGCCCAAGATATTGTCAGAAGCAAAATGTATGGAGAGGTGGGGGGAGTGTGGGTCATCAGCTTGAGGGGGAAGGGATGGTTTTCTGCTAGGGTAAAGCAGAAAAGCCCTGTCACCGAGCTTAAATTAACAGAATCTGCCCAGAGGGGAGCCACAGCCTTTATGTGGCTGATGAATGTCAGCCCTGTTAATGCAGCCCTCCAACTGCAGGGCTGGCCCACTGAGCAGGACGCTTGGAGAACGAGGAATCTCCTGCCTGGGGGACCAGAGCCATGCTGAGTGTCCCTGAACAAGGCTGAAGACACAGGTGATATAATTAGATTTTAGCTATCCATCCCCGTGAAGGAAACACAGGCCGCCATTCAAAGTCTCTTCCCCTCTCGTCTTGCTGTCAAGAGTGGCAGTGTGCAAATCCAGCCCTTACCTCTCCTAATGCAGCTGGCTGGAGCACTACACCTTCAAAACAGTGGATCAGAAATTACCTTTCTCCCTAGCTGAACTTTGAGCTTGAAGAGGAAAACCATCCAGGCAGGGCTCTCTTGAAATCCACAAGAAGACTGAGCGAGGAGCCTAGGGAAAGCAAAACTTTGCTTGTTGTCCTTCATGCTCGCCTAGAAATGTTGGTGGTATCAGGCATACTGTCAGCTTGGTTACACACCAGTGAAATGGGTTTTTCAGTCTCCAGCATATGCTCTGCTGAAAGACCCTGCATGAATTTCCTGCCTGCTTTTCTTGTTGGCAAGAGCTGTGTACCATATGCTGGGGGTGGAAATTAAATCCATAGGGAATGTGTGTGACTTGAAAACCTATGTGGTTGTATTTATGTCAATCGCTGATGTGTTTCCATAAATGCATTGCTGTAACTTTGAGAGGCATCCTGAAACTATTGAATCAGTCAAGACAGTTTCTGGGACACATAACCTGTTCTGATACCCAGAGAGGGCTACTGTTTTACAGGTACAGGCTCAATCACCCCAGTAGCTCTCTGTGTATTCACCCCAGGAATTTATATTGAAAATTTTAATCTTATAACCACTCCACAAATAGCCAGAAAGTATCCCTAAAACCTCTGCTTTGGAGACTCATTTCAAGGGGCAGCAAGAGAAGAAGAAAACCTACTTTTTAACCCCAGAACCAATAAAACCAGAGGATGATGTTTATACGTCACAGGTGGTTGCTTTGAAAGTGAAATAAAAGTATATGATGAAACTTTGGGAAAAATGGACTCTCTGGAATGGGACCAAAAACAAGTTCTCAGTGCTGTTCTTCTGGTCAAAGCCACATAATGCAATTTATGTGATCTACACCACATATATGATTTTATTGTTTGCAGAATTTGGACTTAAGGAAAATTGTACATTGGTGAAGTAAAATGTCTAACTCTTATTACTGCCAAATGAGGTATGATAGAAAAATAAAATATAGCTAGGCCCTCCCTTGTAAGAGCTTATATTTTAGGATTTCACAATTCTCAAAAGTATTTTCAGATGGCTGTTACAGCTAATGACAGTCTTCATTAAGAGTATTTAGGATCGGAATGGTGCCTTTTCAGCCTACCAAGTTGTTACATTTTCCTTCTTATGAACCTTAATAACTAAAGTAAATTGGAGGTTTATAAACCATTCTGAAGTGCTGAGATCCTCTAGGGAAAACAGATTAAATCACTCTTTAAAACCAGAAGTAAGTCCAGCCATTATTTGGTAATGTGTTGGGCTGATGGACTTTTCTGGTTGATAGTTTTGACTGTAGTACATATTAACATAGAAAGGTATTTTGATTACTAAGTGCATTTCTTGAACTTGTAGAGCTGGGGACATTCTAGGTCTAGGTCCTCTTCCACCTCTGATGGAGTGCTCCAGACTCACCGGTCTTGGATTTCTTTTTCCCTCTACAGTCTCTTATGAGCTCATCCGTTCTCATAGCTTTTTGTGTGGTTTGTACACTGACGATGCTCAATTGTAGAGCTCCTGCTTGGCTCTCTTCTCTGAACTCCAGCCTCCTCCATCTGACTTCCTACTTGACATCTCCACTTAATATCAAAAGGGCATTTCAGTCTTCATCTGTCCAGAATGAGGCTGCTGGTGTTTCATCCAGAACTTGATCCTCCTGCAGCCCTCTGCATTGCTCATGGCAACCCCTCTTTCCAGTTTCTCAGGCCAAGACCCTGAAAGCCTTTCTTTCGCTCACATCCCATATCTTGCCAGCTCCGCCATCAGAAAACATTCCTTTCTCATCACCTCCAAGTTCAGAAGACATCCAGGACTCCCTCACTTTACCCCGCATGGGTGCTCAGAGTAGGTATGGAACCTGGCCTCTTCTCACCACTTCTGTTGCCGTCCTGTGCTCCAGCCACTGTTATCACATGTCTGTGTCCCTCAGGAGCCTGCTGGCCAGCCTCCCTGCTTCCTTTCTCGCCAAGCATCTTTCTTTTTATAATCAGTAGCTGGCAGGATCCTGTTCACATCTAAGCCACAGCCCATGAACCTCTTTCAAAGCTTTCCAGCGGCTTCTGCCTCACCATCATGACCCCACTAGAATATAAAACTTTCCTCAAGAAGTGGTGGACTTTTGTTCATTACTAGAATCTCTCGGAACTAGAATAGTGCCTGATGGACTGTAAATAAATATTTGTTGAAGTAATTAACTAAATGATTGTTTTCTGTTTATTTTTCTGTGACACGTCTTTACCCATGCCTCTACTAGCATCTGAGAGTTTTTCTTAAAAACTCATGGGTTATGTATTAAAAATACCCAACTAGGGGTAGGTACAGTGGTTCATGCATATAATCTCAGTACTTTGGGAGGCCAAGGCAAGAGGATTGCTTGAGGCCAGGAGTTTGAAACCAGCCTGGGCAACATAGCCAGACCCTGTCTCTACAAAAAAATGAAGATATTAGCCAGATATGCACCTGTAGTACTAGCTACTCGGAGGTTGAGGGGACGAGCCCAGGAGGTCAAGGTTATAGTGAGCTATGACCACACCACTGCATTCCAGCATGGGAGGCAGAGTGTCTCAAAAAAAAATCTAGTTATTTTTTTTATCTGTTGCCAACATGTTCCCAGTTTCTTTAAGTTTTTAACTTGGTTGTATTTTTTTTTCTTTATAAACTGTGGCTTACATTTTTGTAGGACCAAAGCTGTCTATTTCTGTTTTGACTATGTTTTGTGTATGCAGCCCTTCAGAAGTCCGCCAAGCCGTAATGTCCTCCGGCAGGTTGTACAACCATGTTCTTGTCCTCTCACGTTCATGTTTCTCTGGCAGGCATCAACAGGAAGGTGGTGTACTCCCTGGTGGACTCGGCTGACGGGGTCTTCTCCATTGACAGTTCGTCGGGCATCATCATCCTGGAGCGGCCACTGGACCGTGAGCAGCAGTCCTCCTACAATATCAGTGTGCAGGCTGCTGACCAGAGCCCAGGACAGGTCCTTTCCTCTCTCACCATCGTCACCATCACTGTCCTGGACATTAACGACAACCCACCTGTGTTTGAGAGAAGGGACTACCTGGTGACAGTGCCTGAGGACACCTCCCCTGGCACCCAAGTCCTTGCTGTTTTTGCCACCAGCAAAGATATTGGCACAAATGCTGAGATTACGTATCTCATCCGCTCTGGGAATGAGCAGAGGAAATTTAGGATCGACCCAAAGACAGGTGAGTAAATAGCAACCTACCTCGAATGCAGGGCTTCACTGTACACTGCTTCTCCTCCTAGCACTCTGACCTCCCTTCTCCTCCCTCCCTCATCTTGGAAACAAATCTTTAGGTAGTCCACATGCAGCCCTTCAGTGCTCTACTTCTAAGGATGGCCCTACTAAATATCAGCTCCTAGCTTTGGGCTTACTTGGCAAATTACCTGGTTGCCTTCAGGGTTTCTAGATGGGAGGGCTTGGGGTCAGCAATGTGGTTTCTCTGTGGGTATAGGAAGTCATACTTGCATCCCAAGAACAAGGGTTTGTTTCTCTCTCTTTTTTGTTTATTAGTTTTACTTTTTATTTTATTTTATTTTTATTTTAAGATGTGGGGTACAATTCAGGATTAAGTATACAAGTGGTCATCATATAGGTAAAGTTTGGGCCTCCCTTTGGTCTCCACTTTGCCTGGTTTGAGATCAGGTACCCTTGTTAATATTGTGTCCCCACCCCCCTCACCGTACCCTGGCAGTATCCTGCTACTGCCAATCCCTTTCTTATAGTATTATGGTAAATGTTCAGGGTCCACTTATGAGTGAGAGCATGTGATACTCTGTTCTTTGTGATAGATCACTGAGTATGATAGACTATAAATCCATCCAAGTTGCTACAAAGTTCATATGTTTGTCCTTCTTTATGGCTGCTTAATATTCCATTGTATCCAGTCCAATGTTAATGGACAGCTTGGTTGGCTCCATGTGTTTGCTATTGTGAATAATGCTGCAATAAACAAGCATGTGCAGGTATCTTTTTGTAGAATGATTTGAGTTCCTCTGGGTATATTCCCTGTAGGGGGATTGTTGGGTCATATGGAAGATTGATGTCTAGTTCTTTTAGAAATTGTCATACTGTTTTCCAAAGAGGTTGCATTAGCTTGCATTCCCACTAGCAGTGTAGAAGCTTTCCTTTTTCTCCACATCTGTTGTTGCTTGTTTTATTAATGATGGTCATTCTTACTGGGGTTAGGTGGGATCTCAATGTGGTTTTGATTTGCATTTCTCTGATGATTAATGAGGCTGAGCACTTTTTCATGTGTCTTTTGGCTGCTTCTTTTGAGAAGTGTCTATTCATGTCTTTTGCCCACTTTTTAATGAGCCTGCTTATTTTTTTCCTTTTGGCACATTTGAATTCCTTATAGATCTTGGATGTTAGGCCTTTTTCAGTTAAAGTTGGCAAATATTTTTCCCCATTCTGTGGGCTGTCTCCCTGCTCTCTTGATGGTTTCTTTCACTTTGCAGAAGCTCGTCATTTTGATAAGGTCCCATTTGTCTACCTTACCTCTCATGGCGTGGGCACTTGGGATTTTCATCAGGAATTGGTTGCAAGTTCCAATTTCCATAAGGGTGTTGCCTGCATTTTCTAAGGTTCTATAGTTTGAGGTTTTATGTTAGGTCATTTATCAGTTGAGAGTTGATTTTTGTGTATGATGGTAGGTAGGGGTCCTGTTTCAATCTTCCACATGTGGTCTGCCAGTTTTGCTAGCACCATTTTCTCCTCTCCCCAGTCGTTCTTGGAGGAGAATAGATTCTCCTCCCCCGAGTCGTTCTTGGTGGAGGCTTTGTCAAAGATGAGTTGGTTGAGAAATTGAGGTTTTGCTTCTGGAAACTCTATCCTGTTCCATGGGTCCTTATGCCTATTCTTGTACCAATACTAAGTGTTTTGATTATTGTAGCCTTATAGTAAAGTTTAAAGTCTGAAAGTGTGATACCTCCTGCTACATTTGTTTTGCTCAGGATTGTTTTGGCTATTTATGGTTGTTTATGTTTCCACATGAATTTCTGTATTGTCATTTCCAGGTCTAAGAAGAATGATGTTGGTAATTTAATGGTTATTGCATTCAATCTGTAGATTGCCTTTGGTAGGATGGACATCTTAACAATGTTGATTCTTCCTATCCATGGGCATAGAATATTTTTCCATTTGTTTGTACCTTCCTGGATTTCTCTGAGGAGTGTTTTGTAGTTTTCATTGTAAAGGTCTTTCACTTCTCTGCTTAGGAAGACGCTGAGGTATTTCTTTTTTGTGTGTGGCTGTTGTGAATGGGATTGTGCTTTTTATTTGGTTCTCTACCTGTTTGTTGTTGGTGTATAAGAATGCGACTGTCTTTTGCAAATTTATTTTGTACTCTGAGACTTTGTCAAAGTCCTTTATCAGTGAAAGCAGGTTTTTGACAGATTCTCTTGGGTTTTCCAGGTATAGGATCATATCGTCAGCAAAGAGGGATAACTTGACTTATTTTCCTGTTTGGATACCCCTGATTACCTTCTCTTATCTAATTGCTCTAGGTAGGATATCCAACACAATGTTGAACGAGTGGGGTGACAGTGGACAGCCTTGTCTTGTTTTGGTTTTCAGGAGAAATGTTTCCAGTTTCTGTCCATTTAGCAATATGCTGGCTGTGGGTTTATCATAGATGGCGCTTACTATTTTGAGGTATGTTCCTTCTATGCCTAGGTGTTTGAGGGTTTTTATCAAGAAGGGATGCTGGGTTTTATCAAAAACTTTTTCTGTATCTAATGATATAATCATGCAGTTCTTGTTTTTACATCTGTTGATGTATTTATTTATATTTACGATCTTGTGGGTATTGAACCTGCCTTGTATTCTGGGGATGAACTCTACTTGGTCATAGAGGATAATTTTTGAGATGTGTTGTTGGATCTGATTTGCTAGAATCTTGTTGAGAATTTTTGCATCTATGTTAATTAGGGATATTGGCCTGTAATTCTCTTTTTGCGACGGATCTTTACTGGTTTGGGTATCAGTGTGATGTTAGCTTCATAAAATGATTTGGGGAAAATTCCATCTTTCTCAATTGCCAGGAATACTTTCAATAGGATTGGTATCAGCTCCTTCTTGTACATTTTATAGAATTCTGCTGGAAAACCCTCTGGTCCTGGGCTTTTTTTTTTTTTTGTGGGTAGTTTTCTTATGAGGGAGTCAATTTCCTGGGTTGTTATTGGTCTACATATGGTCTCAATTTCTTCTTGTTTCAACCTGGGGAAGTTGTGTGATGTCAAAAAGTCCTCTATTTCATTTAGGCTATCAAGTTTGTTTCTACAGGAGTACATAGTAATCTCTGATAATCTCTGGTATTTGGGGGGGGGGGGTCAGTTGTGCTTTGATCTTTTGCATTTCTGATTGTGTCTATTTGAGCTTTTTCTCTCTTTTTCTTGGTCATTCTCAGAGTCCATCAATCTTGTTTATTCTTTCAAAAAGCCAGCTTTTTGTTTTGTTGATTTTTTTTCCTATGATATTTTTGTCTTCTATGTCCCATATTTGGACTTTTACTTTGGTGATCTGGATTCTTCTGCTAAAGTTAGGGTTGCGGTGGTCTTGTCTTTCCAGCTCCCTGAGGGGATTTGTTAGGCTGTTAACTTATGATCTTTTCATTTTCTTGATGTGTGTTTGTAGAGATAGAAATTCCCCTCTTAGAACTGTTTTCATGGTATCCCAGAGATTTTGGTAAGATACTTCTTCATTTTCTTTTGTTTCCAGGAATCTTTTAATTTCTGTTTTGATTTCTGTTGACCCATAATCGTTCAGCATCATGTTTTGGAAGGGGTTTAGGGGAATTTTGTTGGTGTTAATATTTATTTTTATTTCACTGTGGTCTGAGAAGGTGCATGGCAGTATTTCGATTTTATGAAATTTGTTTATGTTTGATTTTTAGTCAAGGATATGATAAATCTTGGAGTACATTCCATGTGGTGATTAATAGAATGTATATTCCATGGCTGTTGGGTGGAGTGTTCTGTAAGTACCTATTAAGTTCATTTGGTCAAGTGTCAAGTTGAGGTTTCAGATCTCTTCGTTGATTTTTATTTGCCTTGATGATCTATCTAGGGTTGTTAGTGGGATATTTAAATCCCCAGCTACAATAGTGTTAGAGTCAGTATCTTTTTTTAGTTTAATTTGTAGTTACTTTATAAATGCTGGTTCTCCTGTGTTGGGTGCATATATGTTTAGAATAGATATTTCTTTTTGATGGATTGAACCCTTTATCATTATGTAATGTCCGTTTTTATCTTTTTAAATTTTTGATAGCTTAAAGTTTGTTTTGTCTGATATTAAGATCACGATTCCTGCCTTCTTTTGTGATCTATTCACCTGGAAACTCGTTTTGCATCCTCTAACTTTGAGTCTGTGTGCATCCCTTGTGGTGAGATGAGTTTCCTGGTTGCAGCAAATTATTAGGTCACGGTTTTTTAATCTAATTTGCCATTCTGTGTCTTTTCAGTCATACATTTAATCCATTCACATTCAGGTAGATTATTGAAATGTGATTTTTTTATCCCCGTCATGAGGTTCTTATAAAGTTTTTTCTTTTTCTGTTTGTTTTCTTTTAGTATTTGGGTTGATGTATGTGTGTGTTTTCAAGTTTGCAGTCATTTTTGTATTCTCTGTTAATTCTGTGTTCTGCTGTTCTCTTGGGAAGTGCATGGTCATTCTTTTTTTCTTTCTTCTGTGCTTAGTACCTTTTTAAGCATCTCCTGTAAAGCGGGTCCCATCTCTTAGGGATTGGATGTCTGGGAAGGATTTTAATACTCCACTGCTGATGAAGCTGAGGTGGCTGGGTAGGAAATTCTTGATTGAAATTGGTTGAAATTGCTCATCTTTCAGGACTTTGAATATTGGATTACAGTCTCTTCTAGCATGTAGTGTTTCTGTCAATAGGTCTGCTGCTATTCTGATTGATTTTTCCTGGTAGGTAGTCTGACTTTTCTCACTGACTGCCTTTAGGACTTTTTCTTTTGTACCTACTTTGTGTAGGTGAATTAATATGTGTCTAGGGGTTGGTCTTCTCATTTAATTTCTTGCAGGAGTCCTCTGTATCTCTTGTGTTTGGATGGTCACATCTCTGGTGAGATGGGGAAAGTTTTCTTGGATAACTTCCTGGAAAACTTGCTCTAAGGTGTTCTTATTTCCCTTTATTTTTCTGGGATAACAAACAGGCATAGTTCAGTCTCTTGATACAATTGCACATCACTTGGAGGCTTTGTTCTTTCTTTCTGAGTTTTCTTTCTGTATTTTTTTACAGATCAGGTTAATTCCATTTTTTGGTCTCCAAGTTCTGGGATTCTTTCTTCTGCTTGATTAAATCTGCTTTCCCTGCTTGTCATCTTGTTATTTATTTATTGGATGAAATTTTTGCGACCAAAAACTCTATTACAAGTTCTTTCAGTGTTGCATCTTTTCTTTCTTGAGTCTTATTCACTTTTTCCATCCATTCCCTAATCCCTGTTGTATTTTGGGGCCATGCAGATTGTTGACATGCATTGCTTGGGTTCTGAGGTTTGGCATTTCAGGTGTTTTTTATTTGTTGCACTGAGAATTTCCTGTGTTCTTCCACTAATTTTTTTCCTCATTTGTGATAGATCTCTTTCTTTCCTTGTTAATTCCATTAATCAGTGGCAGTGGGATAGGCTTTCACTTCTGATGTTTGCTCAACCCTCTATTCTTCACTGATCAGGCTCTGAATTGTTCTATTTTGAAACAGGCTATGGGTGGGAAGCTTTGCTGTCTCTTGTAGTTTTGAAAGTCAAAGAAGGTAGAGGATGGGGAGCGAAGATTCAGAAACTACTTGCAAATCACAATGTTCACTGATTGTTGTATGGATTCCCTGAAATGCACTCCCCACCACCACTCTATATAGCAATGCAATGGGTACGTGTATGTATTCCTGAGTCCAAGGTACAGTAACAACAATGAAGAGAACAGATAAAAGTAGAGTGAAATAAGATGGACAAAAATTTAAAAATAAAATAAGATTTAAAAAATAGAACAAAGGCAGAAACCAAACCAAAAAACAATTAAACACACACAGACACATACACACACACACACACACACACACACACACACACACACCAAAACAGACTGGAAAAACAACAAAGCGAAACAAACAAACAAAAAAAAACAGGAAAACCAAACACACATACAAACACTCCCAACACAAAATGAAAGGAGAAGAAAAAGTGATAAAAAGAAAGAAAAAAGGGAATTTAGATTGAACCCTCACACATATATTCACACAAACATTAAACTAAAAAAAGAATAAGAAAGCAAAAGCAAACAAATAAAACTGAAAGATGAACACTCAATCATTCATGTTCACACATAAACATAAAAAAAGAAGGAAGAAAGAAAAAAGAAAAAGAAAAAAAGGGTGGGGGGATGCCAATCGAACCCTCACCTACACATTCATGCATAAAGGAAGAGTATTTAAAAAAAATTTTTTTAAATAAACAAATAAAGGAAAAACCCTGCCCTCTTGTGGCAGTTTTTATAATTGTTCCTCTCAGCTGCTCACAGATAGTCCCCTCTGCTGTCTCCTACTGAACTGGCCTCATTCACAATCTCCCCAGTATCTAGTCCAGGGAAGGAGGAGAGAGTGGTGCGGGGTGGGGGGGGCTTCAGCCATATGGTCAGGAGGATCCCCTCCAGTGAGAGATGCAGGATTATCTCTTCCTCAGGATCTAGTGGTGGGGGTAGTCAGGCTTATCCTGATGTCGAGTCCTCATAGTGTGGCTAATGTCCAGACTCTACCTGTGTTCGTCCTTCTCAGTCATGCGCCCGCAGTGTGGGTCTGATGTTCAGAGGATTGCTGGGGAGGAGGAGGTTGGGTTAGCCCCAGAATCATCACTGATCTCTTTGGAGGTCTTCCACATCCTTTTCTGGCCACATTCTTTGTCCCGTGGCTGAATCAGTGTAGGAGTGGGGAACTGAGACTCAGCACTCCTCCTGTCTCTCCAGAGTTTGTGCTTTCAGGATATTCCCTCTGGGTCATGATCAAACCCTGAGTACTTAATCTGTCGGTCACAGAGATCTGGTCTGTCACTCTGTGGTGAGCAAGCCAGATCACTTTCGTGCCCAGTTTTTAAGACAGTGGCACGGTGTCTGTTTCGTCTTCTCCAGTGGGACTCTGCCTCTGGGCTCCCTTGCTGTGCTCCCTCCACAGTCCTTGCTGCCATTATCTGGCCAGGAGCTGCAGTGGTGAGGCAGAGCCTGGAGCCAGCAGTCTCTCCCCGCAGCCTATTCCTAGGAAGGACATTGTTGATTTTTTTTAAATGGTGCTCAGCTTCTGTGTCCCAGGAAGCTCTAGGAACTAAGCAGAGCAGTTGTGGCACCAGCCACTTCACCAGGAGAGCCCTGGCTACTTGCTCCTGAGTCCCCACTCAGTCAGCCACTCACACATCCACTTACTCACCAACACATATACAAAATTTTCCATACACTCACTTACTCACACTGGGACTCACATAGTCCAACTGGCTCTGCCACCATCTTCCTCCCTTCCTATTAGTTTTTCTTAAATCCTAAGTACATGTGTTGCACTTGCTACCGTCTACTTTCTATCACTGGCCAAGGCAGATAACTTCCCAAATTTCCAGTGTTATCATATTAATAAGTTATCTGCATGGTATGTGGGACCTTCTAAACTCAGCACCCCAAGGACCCCAAAGACTGCCTCAGTGGGTTGGAACTAGTGCTGTGTCTAAAACCTATCTACCACTCCTGGTCAGAACACTGTCATTTCTCACTACCCTCTTTTCAAGCTCTGGGGGAACATGTAACATCACCTAGGAAGACGATGTCTACACAGAAAGTAGAGAACACAAAGAGAACCCAAGGCTTTCTTTTCATCAGTGAGTGAATAAGTATTAGACACACTTTGAGTAGATAAAGATGGTAATTCAGAAAACAAGCTTGTATAACCTTTGAAAAGCAAACATACCCGTATATTTTTATATTTTCATAGAGTGTTTGAATTTCTATTTCCAAGTACTTTCATGGGTATTCTCACTTGTTTACTGATTTCCCTATGAGTAGCCAAAGCTGTTTCCATTGTGCAGATAAGAAAGGCAAATCTCTTCCCTTATCACTCAGGTAGGATGTACCTGCTGAGCAAGGTGGCACAGGAAGTCCATTCTCCTATGGAAAGTCCAGAAAATGCAAACAAGAACTGATTATGATCAGCAATGTTTATTTAACATGACCAGTATGCCAGGCTCTTATTAAAGCATTGGATATTTCTTACATTTTTTTCATATGGGAAAAATAGAACTTTAAAGAGGTTAAATAATTTCCAAATGTCCACTGTTAATGAGTGGCTTATCCAAGATCTGAACTCTAACCTCTCTGACTCTGAAATGTATCCTCTAACCTCCATATGATATAACACTGCTATACTGTTTGCTGCAAAAAAAAAAAAAAAAAAAAATGCAAGAGATTCAGTCCTGGCTCTTAAGTTTAGGAAGGTAGAAATACTGATGGAGGAATTGCATTAGCAGCTTCTCCCAGCAGTAACTCTGTTTATTAAGGTCATTACTTCAAATTAAAATGTATGGGGATTTCCCTCACTTAAATATGTGTTAGCCTTAGCCTGTCTAGTTATGGTCATTGTATATGAATACCATGGGGAAGTGGTTAAGTACTATTTAAACTTGGCACTGACTAACAAGACTGGGATGCAAAATAAAGCACTCGAGGTAGTAGATGCTAAGAAAACTTCATTATGGGAGAAAGATGTTCATACTACAGGAGTGACTTCCGTGTTGGAGGAGCTTATTGGCAGTCCTAGCCACTAGAGAAGTCTCCTGTTGGGAAATATGAGTGGATGTGACCTTCCCACAAGTCCTAATGATTGTTGACCAGGTAGAGGAAAGCAAATGCCCTTGAGAAGTGCCCTGCAGGCACTACAGTAGCAATCTGCCCACTGCAGGATTGGTCACCTGACTGGAGTGGCTAGGATGGGAAGGATGTAGCACTAACAGGGCCCCTCGTGAGGTGGCCCCCAGCTTCTGGAATGCTCTTGGTAAAGCATTAAATAAACAAATTTATGAATATTTAAGGTTCTTGGCTGGAGATGATGTTATAAATATTGCCATGATTATCGAGTTGCTGACCAATATTTTCTAGCTGCTTTCACTTGTTTATTTGTTTAAACAACTCTGTGTCATGGGCATTGTCATCTCGGTTCTGTGGTTGCAGGCGCTAACTCCAGGTAGTTCCTGTTCCATTATGTCACTATACTTGGAGATTTCGGAGATCTTTGCCCTCTTTGTGCCATAATAGTTTTAGATAAGTGCATTATAACTTGGCAAGGTACCTTTGTGGTTAATTCAATTCCGTGTAGTCCACAAGTATTTACTTGCTGACAAGAATGGACTCGTGCAATTTCATGCACGCATCTCAGCCCATTCTTGGTCTTCCTGGGTTCACCTGAGGAACTGGGAGATACTGATTGGGGATGCTTGTTGCTGTTATGACTCCTTTGTTGTATGAGAGTGAACAATGTCAGAGATTTGCAGGCTGCTTGAGAGATGTTCAGGAACCCTTATGGAAACATGAAAAGACTTCTCATTTCTTCAGCGCTGTATTTGATGGATAGCTGTACTTTCACTGACAGCATTAATCAGACTTCTGGAATGCTTTCAGTAGGGCATTAAGTAAACAAACTCCTGAATATCTAAAATTCTTGACTGGAGATGATGTTATAAATATTACCATGATTGTAGAATTGCTGACTGATGTTTTTTCCTAATCAAATATAAAGCTCTCCATTTTTCTTCAAAGGGGATATTTCTGTCTCTGACATCCTGGACTATGAATTATGCAAAAGGTTTTACCTGGTGGTGGAAGCCAAAGATGGGGGCACCCCAGCTCTCAGTGCCGTGGCCACTGTCAGCATTAACCTCACAGATGTGAATGACAACCCTCCTAAGTTCAGTCAAGATGTCTACAGTGCTGTCATCAGTGAAGATGCCTTGGTGGGGGACTCTGTCATTCTGGTAGGTACCTGAAGAAGGGCTTGGGGAATGTGTCTAGATGTCTGGGACTAATCATCCTCAAGAAAGTGAAGAATTAAGCAAAGTTTACCTTAGAATTTCTTACATTTCCCTCTTTCGGTGTCCATCTGTCCCCAAGAATGATAGCCAGACACTGGTCTTTCAACGGCTCTTTCTGCGGTTTGTATATTAAAAAGGGTTTGATAGATTAATTTGTTTCAAGATGTAAGTGACTGATAATCATTTATCTCCTAGTTGTGTATATTTTGCAAGAACACAAAACAGAGCATGCAATAAACACTGAATGGTAGTTTCTACTAGCTTGTGAGCTTAGACGACAGGTCATTAGGTGGTGAAGAGGGATGCATTGGTGTGTCTCCCTGAGATGTGGTACACAACATGGTGAATATAGTTAATAATAGTGTGTTGTACACTTCAAAATTGCTAAGAGAGTACATTTCAAATGTTCTTATCACAAAAATCATGGTATTTTGAGGTGATTGATATGTTAGTTATCTTGATTTAATTATTCCACATTGTATTCATAAATCGTAGTATCACTTTGTACCCCATAAATATGTGTGGATACAATTTGTCAATTTACAGTAAAAATGATTAGCCTGCTAAGGATGGAAAAAATCCTTACCCCTCCATCATATACACATGGGACATACATAAATGGGGCAGCTGCAACAGGGACAAGTTCAAGACAAATTGGCCACTCCCAGAGAAGCCCTTTTCAAACACATTTGCTCCAATAATAAGAACAGGTCGTGTGCTCTGAGGACTCAAACTCTCCTAGACCCTTGATTCCACTTTGTATCCTCACCACCCTTACCCTGCCTCACTTGGTAGAGCCCTTCCACTCATGTCAGCTCTTCCTGAGCAGCGGGGTGTTGCAGCCCTCTACTCATGGCAGTGCATTCTTATACATCAGAGGTGCTCTCTTCTTCCTGGACAACACAAGACTAATTCCATACATATAACTCCCAACTTTACCAACTGGAACAGCAGGCCTAACAAGTGTCAGGGTGTAGGCAGGTACAAATTAACATAGAAATAAAATGGCAGCTCCAGTCCTGGCTCTACCATCCTTCAGCCAACCCATCATCTCTTCTGATGGGGACATGGTCCCAGACATTGGCAAGCAGAGCTCCTGAGAAAACTGGCAGAGTTGCAGCCATTTAAGCAGGCCTGGGGCCCTACACATCCACCTTTTCCTTGTCTATTGTGTTTTATCTTCTCTTTGTTTTGCTATTTTCTGTGAAGCTAATAGCAGAAGACATAGACAGCCAGCCCAACAGACAGATTCATTTTTCCATTGTGAATGGAGATCGGGACAATGAATTTACTGTGGATCCTGTCTTGGGACTTGTGAAGGTTAAAAAGAAATTGGACCGGGAACGGGTAAGCTTGTTTAGGCTAACTCCCTTCCCCCCACCCACATCCACCCTCCGCTGGAGGATGGCACGAGCTCTGTCAGTGGGACTCCATTCTGAATAATGAGAGTAAGTAGGGATGGGCTAAAATGCAGTATGAAGTATTAGGGTTAGAGTTCTGAAAGAATCTTTTGCCAATAATAGATGCTGGCAATTTTTTACTTATGGAGGTTTTAAAGAAAAGGCAAATATGTATTTTTCTGGATGGTTTGAATTTCAGTCCTTACAGCAGCAGGGGATCAGAATAGTACCCGAAGTGTTGGGATCCTGTGGTTTTAATTTTATGAGCAACTTTGGCCCTAGGTGAACAGATATAAAAAGATCACCTGAAAGTATCCAGCTCAGAAAGAATGATCCAGAAAATGTTTTGTCCAAGATTAAACTAACTTTCTTTTTTTCTTTTTTTTTGAGTTGGAGTCTCACTCAGTAGCCCAGGCTGGAGTGTAGTGGTATGCTCACGACCACCGCAGCCTTGACCTGCTGGGCTCAGGTGATCCTTCTGCCTCATCCTTCCAAGTAGCTGAAACTACAGGCACATGCTACCACACCCGACTTACTTTTTGATTTATTGTAGAGATGAGGCCTCACCAGTTTGCCCAGGCTGATTCCAGAACCCTAAACTCAGGCAATCTTCTCACCTCGGTCTCCCAATATGCTGAGATTATTGATTTGAACCACTGCACCTAACCATAAACTAAATTTCTAAACGTTGTCTTTCTTTATCAAAATACGTGTCTTCAAAGAGAAATTAAATATGGAAAAGGATGCCATAGTAGTGATGCTAAAAAGCAGATTTACTGTGCTGGTTGATATGTCCTCAGAACCCCAGAAATAGTAACATTACTAAATGAAGAGGGAGGAAGAGGGAAGTAGTAGAGGAATGAGAAATCCCCTACCGGGTACAAAATGCACTCGTGGCGATGGTGGGTACACATAAAGCCCAGAGTTCACCACTGTGCAATGTATCCATGTAACCAGAAACTGTACCCCCTAAAGCTATTGAAATAGAGGAGAAATAAATAAATAAATAAGACAGATCAGTGTGACAACTGTTGCATTGAATAAAAGATCTAGAGCCTGTATTCTGACGGGGTTGGATTTGTCCCACAGGGACATTTGGCCATGTTTGGAGACAGTTTTTGGTTGTCACAACTGGGTAGAGAGTGATACTGGCTCCTACTCTATGCTGTTAAGTATCCTATAATGCACAGGTTAGCCCCCAACAACAAAGAATTACTCAGCCCCCGTGTCCATGGTGCCAAGGTTGAGAAGCCCTGGTCTAGGGATTAAAGTGAAGATAATTGGTCTTTACAAAAAGGCACAGCCTGACCCTGCAGCTCTCTCAAGTGTGCCCAGAAAGAAAGAAGTCCTACACTTCTTTACTGTCCGTTTTCTGTGCCTTCACAGGTATCCGGATACTCCCTGCTTATCCAGGCGGTAGACAGTGGCATTCCTGCAATGTCGTCAACTGCAACTGTCAACATTGACATTTCTGATGTGAATGACAACAGCCCAGTGTTTACGCCTGCTAACTACACTGCTGTGATTCAGGTAAGTACATCTTCTGTGCCAGGTATGTGTCCTCATGCACGCAAGCTTCCTTCCTCTGCAGTGGCTTACTCGTTGCAGTTTATTCTTACTATTACTTAATGTCAACTCATCCCTTCATAGGGTAGGCATTAAAAGAACCCAATTCTTCTACCACAACCAATTCATAAACATGGATAGCAGATACCTAGGAGTGAGCTCTTCCAAGTGTCTGGTGCTTTATGTACACCATCTCTCTCCACAACAACCAGGTAGGTGAAGAGGGATGATGAGTTGGCCCCGACTTTATAGTTGAGGGAGCTGAGATCTGTGAGGTTAAGGAGTTCACCCAAGATCATGCAGCTGGTGAGTGGCAGAGTCAGGATTTGAATTTGGGTCTGTCTTTTGAAAAATATAATCTCTTTCCACAATGACAGGCTGCTGCCTTTAAACAACATGGTGCTCTTCTGACAGGGAAGGGAGATTGATATGCATCATCTCACAAGTCAAAGGGAGACTGAGCATCAAGATAGAGCTGCTACTCATGAAAATTAATCTTCCATAAGCAATTTGTTTAGCATGTTAAGTGCACCTGCTCTTTAAAATTAGACTGCAGGATAGAATGACATACTGCTGGTATTTTACTGTCACGGAGATCTACCCTTCTTCCTGTTTTTTATTCAGAAGATATTTCATGAGGTGCTAAGCTTCCTCTACTTCCCAGTATTTCTAGGAGTTGAAAGCCCAACTTTAGGAGGATCAAGAAATCCAGTCCAGGAATACTATCGGTGTGGAGGACTTAGAGGAGAGAAAGAGCAATGTACATGTCTTGGAGGGCCACAGGTATTCTAGAGAGTCAACTCTTGTCTGATCCAGTTTGGCCTCAGAATCACCCCCAAGGAGTCCCAGGGCTTTATGGATAACTGCGGATGGGTCAGGCCTTGAAGGCCTCCTTTGCAGTACATCCAAGACTGCCTCCCCAGCCCCAGAGCCACCGAGCTATCCAGCAGCCACAGTGGGGAGCAGTCTCAAGGCAGGCAGTTGTTGGCTTGCTGCCACTGAAATCTGATCCTCTTGTGATGTTTTGGCTCCCCTCCACTGATGCTCTTTCCAGTAGCGGTGCATTCTGTGCCCTCTTCTGCGTCTGCAGAGCCTTGCTCAGGGCCTGTACCTTCCTCCACATCTCCCTCTCTCAGATTGTGCTGCTCTACTATGGCTGCCCTGTGCTCTGCCCCTCATTGCCTCCATGTGTTTGCCCCAAAACAAAATTGGCTCTGCCAACTCTACATTCGGTTTTATGACACACATCGATCAGCTTGACATGCTGTTTTCAAATGCACAACAGGAAGTCAGCAGTGAAAGAACCGGGAGTCTTAGCCCATGAGCAATGACTGAGCCCCATGCACGACGCTGGGTGTGTCTGTATGACATGACACTCTTCTTTCTCAGATGGTGACCTTTGGGGCCACTTTCTTTCTCTGTCGCCCTTTTTTCAGTGGAGGAAACGGCCTTTGTAGAGTGAGCAAACAAATCAATAAATCTTCTGTTTTGCTTGGTGCTGAGTATGTTGTTAGTGTGAAGTAGTCAATCTACACCAGGCGGGGGCGGTCCCAGAACTGACTCCAGAGGGAGACGGTGTCTAGTTTTTGATGGCTGAAAGGGCCCTTGAGAGAAGGAACAAAATAAGAAGTCTTTGCGAGCCTTTTCTCCCTCTCCTTCAAAATGATGTGCCTGCCTTTTCCCAACCCAGAAGGCCTTTCTCATTCCAACACGTTTTCAGAAGACTAATTCAGCACATAAAGCGCGAGTGGTCCCGCCCTGCAGACTTCAGCACATCATTGTCGCCATCTCCGCAAGCCAGACTCATATAGTCCTTGCGTCCATGTCATCACAAGGTCTGAACTAAGACCTCCTGATACTGAAGACCTCCTCCAGGCTGAAGCTGTGGTTACACTGATGTTTAAACAGAGCAGGGCAAAGAAATCAATGACTGAGCTACAGAGGATTTAATTCACCTTTTTCAAAGTGAGGAATACCTTTGACCCAAGAGGGAGCTCTGTGTTCCTATTTTGTAAAACAGGTAGAGTTCTGCAAAATAATGCTTACATAATAGCATCTGGGCTTCCAAATATTCTGGCAAAGTTAAAAAGTTTCCCTTTCTCTTCATTCTCAAGTTGAATGAAGGAATTCCCTCCCCCTCTCGTAAAGAAACATGGCAAAACTGTGTTCTGGAGGGTGGCATGTAAAGCCCCATTTTCCACCTGGCATATGTTGGACTGGGAAGTTTGTTTGTTTACTGGGAAGTTGCCAGGATATCCTTCAAATGGTCCTATACTGTGATGTTGTGTTCGTGGTTTTGGTCTTGGCATGGTCGTGTTGTGATAGGCGTGAGGAAGTGCCTCCTCAGCCCCACAGAGCTCTTCAGGTAAACTCGGCATTGCCAACTGCCCAGGAAAAGGTGTACCCAGAGCCATCCTCAGAACCCATGAGCCCATTCAGCTTGCAGTCCTTGTGTTCTTACCTGCAGAGGACTGTCTCATGGGGCGGCTGTGGGGAGGCAGCCAAGGATGGGAAACACGACGCTTCCAGATGCCGGCGTGTTTTCAGAAAACAAGATAAGATCGCAGGGAATCCCTTCCACTGAAAGCCCTGTTTTCCAGCACAGCACTCTCAGTGGTAATGATGGGTTTTTTTTTTTATGTGAAGAGAGGTGTAATTTTATCTTCCTTTTTACTATACTCTCTTATGCAGGAAAATAAGCCAGTGGGCACCAGCATCTTGCAGCTGGTGGTGACAGACAGAGACTCCTTTCACAATGGGCCTCCCTTTTCATTCTCTATTTTATCGGGAAACGAGGAGGAGGAGTTTGTGTTGGACCCTCATGGGATCCTTCGGTCAGCTGTGGTGTTCCGACACATGGAGTCTCCAGAATATGTGCTGTGTGTCCAGGTATGGCATTGCTCTCTGTCCTCATTAGGCTGTCTTTCTCATCCTTGTTTCTGTCCCCTTTGGTTGGTTTTTCTTTGTTGGGCAAGTCAACATAATTCATTACCACTAGGAATGCTCTCCTTTTAATCTCAAATTCAATTTCACACCAATAAAAGCAACCTCTGTGTGTGAAATTGAACAAGAAGGAAGGGAAGCCTCATTGTTCAGGAAGGACATTCCTGCAGAATGTGGCTGGCAGACAGTCACTGGGCTTAAGTCGGCATTCTAAAAATTCCTGGGGCTCTAATTGACCCCCAAAGACAACTCACTGGTCAACACTTGTGCTTTATACTGAGTATCAT